GAAGTCACTGGTCAGATGTCTGGTCTCCTTATTCTCCAAACTTAACATCTAGGATGCACAAGAGGGGCCATTATCTGTGTTCTGAGAATTTGTCATCCAGCATCTTATGTTGAACAGTGCAGAATCTGCTTAAAACAATATTCCATATTTTAGCATGAAAAGGACACCTGCCTTCCAAGCAGTCTTTTAAAAAGTGTGAGATTTCTACTCTCCACATTCAATTCCCCACATTCAAGTGAAGGTCAGCCTTCTTGTTGATTTGGCTAAGCCAACTTTAAATGGGTGCTCAGGCTTTGGATAGATAGAGAATGGATACCAATATTTCTCCCACCTGGTTGCGAAGCTTTAGCAATGACAGAGTATGTTTATTGACTGTAAATCTCTGCCTTTCAAAACTTCCCAGTTGCTCATCAATAGGAACCAACCAGGGAATAAAAACCCAGTTTATGACATTCAGATCTGCTGTTACATCTCCATTTTGGTCCAAGTACAATTTCCGATGGGAAATATTGCAAAACTCATTCTTCTCCAGAAATGGATGGAACTAGAACAGAAACATCCAGGAATTTTAAAAGCAGAAATCTTGGTTTCTTATCCAAGTGGTCTTTTCACTTTTGAGACTTTCATCTACCATTGTCAAAGTGGCAAATATAGTGAGATGGGAGAAAAAGTGTTACCACTTTCTTCAAAAGGGAAAGAGGCTAGGGGACTTCCAGTTGCAAGGCTTCAGCGGTGGCAGGAATCCGCTTTTCTGCGGGTCCCTGCTGCGCTTGCTGCTGAGGTACCCCCGATCCAACTGGATTTGGGGATTGTCGCTACCCCGGAGGGGCAGCGGAAGATAGAGGAGATCCGGGCAGGGGTCTGGGGTTATCACAACCCCTTTCCCCAGCTGGCTAGACTCTTTTTTCCTGAGGCGGTGGAGCGGCTGTCAGAAATGGCAGCCACAAAGGAATCTTCAACCGGATAAGATTTGTGCAGGAGGAAGAATCAGAAGGAGAAGTTTTCTTGGCTGAACCGGGACATTAAGATACTTTTAAACACCCTGGAAACCTGACTTTTGGAATGATACATTTGTTTTCAAAAGAAGTTGTTAAAACGGCGAAAGTGCTGAAAGGAAAGTTCACTCCCCTTCCTTATGGAGAAAGCAAATGAGCACTGAAAAACCTGCTTCCTTAAGGTAAAAATAAGCTCTTTGTTATAAGTGGGAAGGAGAGGACTAAAAGAACTTTTAAAAACTTGTTGGAGGAGACACCTTGAAGATTATAAGATCAGCAATTAACTGTAATACGGCTATAAAATATATTTTGGGATTTTGCCCCAGGAGGAAAAACTGCCAAGAGAAGAAGAGGAAATATTTTGTGTCTGTTTGGATTGTTTGATAATTTTGACACTTGGAAATTACTTTAAGATTAAAAACATCTGGGTTGTTCTTAAAAATTTACAATGGCACTGTGGATGAATTAAAAATGGAATATGAAAAATTAAAGGAAAGAGAACAAGAAGGCAAGGATTCTTTGGGAGCTGTCTTCCACTTTTTAGAAATGGTGGTTTCTACATATCAGCAAATACATGAGGAAGAAGGAGAAGGAGAAGGAGAAGGAGAAGGAGAAGGAGAAGGAGAAGGAGAAGAAGAAGAAGAAGAAGAAGAAGAAGAAGAAGAAGAAGAAGAAG